AGTAGCTCCCTCTTCCCACAAATCACACCTATCATAATTACTGCTAATAGAGGGTTGCGTAAAGGTTGCGTACCTTTCTATGTCCTTCCTTTCTTTATATATTTATATATGGATATTTTCTTCTTAAACAAATGTGGGATTATATTATATGTAGAATTTTAAATGCATTCTTCAGTATTTTTGTTAAGGTATAACTTTAAATGCTCAGATATATAATGTATATGTACTGTACATATTTTCTCGCAGTCTGAGACACTGTGAGGCTTAACGGTGCCCTTAAGAGCAGAAACTTAAGATTTTGATGAATTTTAATAATCCTTTCTTTTATGCCTAGTGCCTTTTTGTCCTGCATAAGAAAGCTTGATCTACCTCAAGGTAGTCAAGATATTCTTTATGATTTCATTTAGAAGCTTTATGGTTCTAGCTTTTACATTTAAGTTTGTGATTCATCTCATTAATTTGTGAGTATGGAGTATTTCCTGAGTTGTTTTTTTATGATCAAGAACATAGCCTAACTTGATAATGTTTTGTGTGATCTTGAAAAGATTGTGTGTTCTACTTTTGTTGAGTGAAGTATTCTATAAATGTCAAAGTTAGCTGATAGCATTGTCCCAGTCCTTTACATCCTTACTGATTTTTTTTATCTCCCTTATTTGCTTATTATTATACATCTTTTTTTTACAGTATACATGTCTAATTTATCAGAGTTGACCTTCAAGTAATGCTATACAAATTCATGTGTAATCTAAATGAACCTTATATAACATTAGAATATTATACCAGAATCTTATTTATATAATGATATACGAATTTATATATATTTAAGAATCTTACACCAGAATAATCTAGTATTCCCCTTGTAGTCTTTCTACTATTGTTATACATTTTACTTTACAGATTTTATAAACCTCACAATACATTGGTGTTATTTTGTTATTTTGTTTAAAGCAAAGATAGCACCAATGTATTGTGAGGTTTTATAGAGGTTTTTGTTACTACATTTTTTTTTTTTTTTTTTTTGTTTAAAACAAAAATAGCCCCAATTTTTTGGGGGGTTTTTTAGGGGTTTTTTTTTTTTTTTTGGTTTTTTTTTTTTTTGTTTAAAACAAAAATAGCCCCAATTTTTTGGGGGGTTTTTTAGGGGTTTTTTTTTTTTTTTTGGTTTTTTTTTTTTTTGTTTAAAACAAAAATAGCCCCAATTTTTTGGGGGGTTTTTTAGGGGTTTTTTTTTTTTTTTTGGTTTTTTTTTTTTTTGTTTAAAACAAAAATAGCCCCAATTTTTTGGGGGGTTTTTTAGGGGTTTTTTTTTTTTTTTTGGTTTTTTTTTTTTTTGTTTAAAACAAAAATAGCCCCAATGTTTTGTGGGGTTTTATAGAGGTTTTTGTTACTACATTTTTTTTTTTTTTTTTCCGGGTCCGGCAACGGATTGCAACCCTCAGTGTTGCCCCCGTACCGGACCGGGGACCGGCAACGGGATCGCACCCCTCGGTGTTGCTCCCGCGCCTCGCTCAGCCAGTGAGCGGGAACCGGTCTGTATGTGGGATCCGAACTCTCGGGCGGGAGCGCCGCCGTGCTTCCCAAGCGGCGCACTATCCAGTGCGCCACCGGGCCGGCCCCTTGTTACTACATTTTAAAGAGGTTCAAAAATTAAAGAACATAAGTCTATTATATTTATTCACATCCTTATCATTTTTATTATTCTTTATTCTTTTGTGTAGGTCCAGTTTTCCTCTTAGTATCATTTGCCTTCTGCCCGAAGTATTTCCTTTAGTGCATTTCTGCTGGTGATGAATTTTCTCAGCTTCTGTATGTCAAAAAAGTGTTCACTTTATCTTTATTTTTGAAAGATGTTATTGTTGGGTATAGATTTGTAAGCTGACAGTTATCTGTCTTTTTTTTTTTTTCCTTCTGCTGCTTTAACGATACTGCTCTACTGTCTTCTGATTTGTATTGTTTCTGATGGAAATTCTCCTGTCATCCTTATCTTTGTTTTTCTCTGTGGAATGTCTTGTTACTTGAGTTGCTTTTAAGGTTTTTCTCTTTATTATTATTATTATTTTTTTTTAAGCAGTCTTGTTATGATGTGCCTTGGTGTGATTTTTCTTTGTTTCTTCTGCTTGGTGCTCATTGAGCTTCTTAGACCTTCAGTTATTAGTTTTCATGAATTTGAAAAAAATTTAGTGAGTTTTTCAAGTATTTTTTCTGTCTCGTCCACCTTTGGAATTCCAACTACACTTATATTTTAGGTCTTTTGAAGTTGTCCCACAGTTCACTGATGCTCTGTTACTTTTTTTTTTTTCCAGTCTTATTTCTGATAGTTTTTATTGCTAACTGCTGTGTCTTCAAGTTCACTAATTTACGCCATAGTATCTAATCTGTTAATCCCATCCAATGTAATTTTTATTTAAGATGTTACATTACTTTTCTCTAGACTTTGATTTGGGTCATTTTTATATCTTTGGTTTCTCTCCTTATCATGCTTATGCTTTCTTCTTCTTTCCTGAGTATATGGACTATATTTAAAATAGCCATTTTAACATCTTTCTACTAAGTCTTTCATCATTTCTATTGATTGAGTTTTCTTCTGATGTGTCATATTTGCATCATTGGCAATATTAAATTAGATGCCAGACACTGTGAGTTTTATATCATTGGGTGCTGAAGTTTTCTGTATTTCTATAAGTACTTTTGTGGATTTTTTTGGACTCATTACATTACCTAAAACAGTTTTAACTTTTAAGCACTGTTAGGACGATCTAGAATAGCTTTTAGTCTAGGGTTAATATGACACACCACTGAGGCATATCTTTCTTAGGACTGTCCTTGATGTCCTGTATTTTGGTAGTCTTTCCACTCTGGGTAATTGGTACAGAAATTACTTCTAGCCCTGAGTGATTTCTGAAGATTGTTCTGCCTGCTTCTTATGATTTTAAAATTACCTTTCAATTTCTGTGTTACACTTATATTGTTTATTTTCCAGATTATTTTAGCATTTTTATTTTTATTAAAATATGTGGAGAATTGTTATGCTAGCTTGCTAGTGAATAATCAAATAATTATTTGTAATAGTTTTATAATAATCAGAAAGAGTTATCATTCCTCCCAAGATGCCTAACACATCCGAGGACAGATGATACAGTCTTGGTATCAGAACATTATTTGCAACGGTTATGAAGAAATGACATATATTTTTCATACTAAATAACTCATTTAATTTTTTCCTTGTTTTCTATCTCTCTAGGAAGAACGTATTGTGAATCACATAGCAGCAAAGATTATTGAAAATGTCTGTGCCACTTTTTCTGCTCAGGCCCAGGGCTTTATTACAGGCGAAATTGGGCCTGTTTTATGGTACCTATTCAGACATTCCACCATTGATTCTCTTAGGATAACAGCAATATCGGTAAGATGGATCACCTTTTGGGGATATATGAGTATCTGAGTATATTTAAACACCAAGTTTGAAGAAATGTGCCAGAGTAAGAGTAAATTTAATTGAATAGGAAGGAAACTGAAATCTCTGAGTAATGGTTGGTGAGAGCAGTAACTTGATTTTCTCCTAAAGCAGAATTTTTAAAAATGGGGTTGGAAAATGTTGGGACTGTCAGGGAATTCCAGTAGGACCTTGTAGGACCATGACATTATGGCTTCAATAACTCAGTGGAAAAAACTGTGGTAGTAAATAGAGTATACAGGATTTCATTTGTTATATTTTTAGAATTTCCTGACATTTTCTGTTTGCACCCTTGTTCAGATTTTGCATTAAACGGGTTTATCATGAGTATCA